CTCCCTCAGCTTTTCCTGGATCTCCAACCACTTCCAAGCTCCCTCAGCTTTTCCTGGATCTCCAACCACTTTCCAACTCCCTCAGCTTTTCCTGGATCTCAAATGCCTTCCCAATTCCCTCAGCTTTTCCTGGTTTTTCAGCTCCTTCCCAACTCCCTCAGCTTTTCCTGATTCTCCAGACCCTTCCCAACTCCCTCAGCTTTTCCTGGATCTCCAATCCGACCCTTCCCAACTCCCTCAGCCACTCAGGATTTACCCTCCAGCCTCTTCCAGCTCCACCTGGAAAATCATTGGCAGCATCTCCTCACGTCGAATTCCCGTTCGTATTCCAGAAATACCTGCGCCGACGGAAATATTCCCTCTTCGCCGCCTTCTACTCGGCCACGATGCTCCAGGGCGTGGACGGCGCCGTCCAGTTCGAGGTCAGCATCGGGAATTACGGCAACAAGTTCGACACCACCTGCCTGCCCCTGGCCTCCACCACCCAGTACAGCCGGGCCGTCTTCGATGGTGAGCACGGCACGGATTCCGTCCTTTGGGATGATCCAAACCCGGCCGCTGGAAGAGAACCTTGGGATTATGGAATGGTTTGGGATGGAAGGGGTCTTAAATCCCATCCTGGTCCAGCTCAGGGACAAATTCCACCGTCCCAGGTGGATCCAAGCACAATGTCCAACCTGGCCTTGGACACTTCCAGGGATCCAGGGGAAGCCGGAGGTTGTGTCCAGGGGATCCCGCTGAAGGTGTCCCTGCTTGGACCAGACAACTCCAGAGGGTTTTCCTGCCTCAGGCGTGGGGAATTTTTGTCTGGGAAGGATCAGGGAAGCCAGGACTTCTCTTGTCTCCATGAGGTGGTTTTTGGGGACATCCTTCCCTGCCTTTCCCTGGCTTCCACCTCATCCCACCAGGAATGCTGAGCTGGTTTCTGGCCTCACTGCCAGAGCCATTGGTGGTATCTCAAGGATTTGGGAGACACCACTCCCCTCTTTCTCCCAGACGCCTTCCAAGGGGAATTCCCACCCCAGTCACGCTCTTCCCCCTTCATCCCCACTGCCGAGGGGCGGATCCCGTTATCCCAACATCCCAAGGTGATGCCCTGCTGTCCCCCCCAGGCTGTCACTACTACTACCTGCCCTGGGGGAACGTGAAGCCGGTGGTGGTGCTGTCCTCCTACTGGGAGGACATCGGCCACCGCATGGACGCCCAGAACCTCCTGCTCCACGGAGCCGAGCGGCTGGTGAGTGACCGGGGACATCCCTGGGGACACCGGCAGGGGACAGAGGCCACCCCCAAGCTGAGGAGTGTCCAGTGACACCTCTGGGGACATCCCTGGGGACACTAGGAGGAGAGAGAGGTCACCAGGAGTGTCTGGTGACGCAGCTGATGTATCCCCTGGATAAGGAACTTCATGGAATCATGGAATGGTTTGGGTGGGAAGGGAACTTAAATCCCACCCAGTTCCACCCCATCCATGGGCAGGGACACCTCCCACTGTCCCAGGTGGATCCAACCCCAACGTCCAGCCTGGCCTGGGGACATTCCCAGGGATCCAGGGGCAGCCCCAGCAAATCTGGGAATTCCAGCCCAGCCAGGAATTCCTTGCCAAGATCCCAGCCCAAGCTCCCCTTTCCCAGTGGGAGCCATTCCCTGGCTCCTGTCCCTCTGTCCCTTGTCCCCAGTCCCTCTCCAGCTCTCCTGGAGCCCCTCCAGGCACTCTGAGCATTCCCTGGAATTTTCCCTTCTCCAGGGGAACATTCCCAGCTCTCCCAGAGCATTCATTCCATCCTGGAGTGGTTTGGGTTTGGAGAAACCCTAAATCCCATCCCATTCCATGTTCAGGGGCACCTTCCATGATCCCAGGTTGCTCCAAGCCCTGTCCAACCTGGAGACAATTCCAACCATCCAGGGGCTGTCCTTCAGCTCCTGTGAGTCGGAGATTTCCCTTTGGATTTCCCTGTTGGTTCCCCTGAACCTCCAACCATTTGGATGCAGATCCCTGGAGGGACCCAGAATGGAATCTCTGACCCCTGGGAATTTTGGGAATTTCCCCAGCCTCTTGCTGGGAATATCCTGGAAGCAGGATGGGATCCCTCAGCTCCTGGTCTCCGCTTTTCCTGCAGGAAGCAAACCTGGAGAAGGTCCACGTGGCTCTGAAATCCAACCGCTCTCCGATCGAGCTGGAGGCCCTGGGATCCCAACTGCTCGAGGACGTCATCGCCGACTGCAGGTACTTCGGGAATTCGGGATGGGAAACCTTTCCTGATGTTTCTTCTTCGTCTTGGAAGGATCCACAGCCTCCGCTCCTCTTCTCCTTTCTTTTCCCCCTTTTTCCCCTTTCCCCTCTGCCTTTCCCTCCCTTTTCCCCCTCTTTTCCCTCTTTTTTCCCATTTTTCCTTTTTTTCCCTCTTTTCCAATTCCCCCCCCTTTTCCCCCTTCTATCCTTTTTTTTCCTTCCCTCTTTTATTCTCACATTTTTTCTTTTTCCTCTTTTCTCTCCCTTCTTTCCCTCTTCCCCCTTTCCCCCTTTTCCTCCCCTTTTCCACTTTCCTTTTATTCACTTTTTCCCTTTATTTCAGTTTTTCCTTTCTCCCTTTTTCATTTTTCCCCCTCCTCCCTTTCTCCTTTTTTGCTCTTTTCCCCTTTTTCCCCCTTACCCCTTTTTTAATATTTTTCTTTTCCCTCTTTTTCCCCTTTTTCTCCCTTTTCACCTTTTTCCATTTTCCCCATTTTCCCTCCTTTTCTACTACTCCCCTTTCCTTTTTTTTTTTCCCTTTTTTTCTGTTTTCCCCTTTTTCCTCTTCCCTCCTTTCCCCCCTTTTTCCTTATTTTCCCTTTTTTCCATTTCTCCCAATTTCTCCCTTGTTTCTCTTTTTCCTGTTTTTTTCCCTTATTTTCCCTTTTCTTCCATTTCTCCCAATTTCTCCCTTGTTTCTCCTTTTCCTGTTTTTTTCCCTTTTTTTCCCTTTTCTTCCATTTCTCCCAATTTCTCCCTTGTTTCTCTTTTTCCTGTTTTTTTCCCTTTTTTTTGTCTTTCCCCCTTTTATTCCCTTCCCCCTTTTTCCTCTTTTTGCTTTTTCTCTCCTTTTTATTTTTTCCCTTTTTTCCTTCCCTTCCCTTTTTTATCCTCGCTTTCTTTTTTTTCCTTACTTCTTTTCCCTCTCCTTTTTTCCCCTTTTCCCATCTTTTCCCACCTTTGCACTGCTCATTCCCCCTCACTCCAAATCCTTATCCCTGGAAGTGTCCAGGGCCAGGCTGGATGGGGTTTGGAGCAACCTGGGATAGCGGAAAATCCCAAACCATTCCATAATTCCATAATTCCATATTCTCCCTATTTACCTGCAATAAAAAATGAGATTTACAGATCCCAATTCCCGAGGTGGGAATGTCGCATCCTTAAAAACCTCCTTCCAAACCTCTCCTTGGCCTAAAAATAAATTTATCTTTGGCTCCATCTATTTTTTCCGGAGGAAATCTTGATTTGTGTCTCGGGAGCTGGGAGCAGGAAGTTCATTTATAGCTGCGGATCCATAAATCCTTGAATTTTACAGGAAAACCTCCCAGTTTGGCACCTGATCCATTTTTCCAGGAACTGGGATAATGGATATTAAAATGTGGGCGTGGCTCATTCCCATCCTGATTCCAGGGGGAATTCCGGCTGTGGTTGGAAGCTCTGTTGCTCTTCCTGATCCCAAATATCTTTGGTGGGTTCTCAATTCCTTGGAAACTCACAAAAACTATGGAAAAGCCATTAAAAAAGGCCGGAAAATCCCACAAGAAGTTGGATGAGCTATTGGGGGTGGATTTGGGATGGGTTAATGATAACTAATGATGATTAGTGGCTATTAATGACCTGTAATGATCATTAATGACCATTAATGACCATTAGTGACCATTAATCACCATTAATGATGATTGGTGACCTTTAATCATCTTTAATGACCTTTAATGAACAATTCATGACGATTTGTGACCATTAATAACCATTTATGGCAATTAGTGACCCTTAATGACCTTTAATGATCATTAATGACCATTAATGATGATTGATGACCATTAATGATTGTTAATGATCAGTAACAACCATTAACAGTAACAACCATTAACCATTGATGATGATTGGTGACCATTAATGACCATTGATGACAATTAGTGACCCCTAATGACCATTAATCACCATTGAAGATAATTGGTGACCATTAATCACCATTAATGATCATTAATGACAATTAGTGACCACTAATGACCATTAATCACCATTGATGATGATTGGTGACCATTAATGACCATTAATGACAATCAGTGATCACTAATGACCATTAATCACCATTGATGATGATTGGTGACCATTAATCACCGTTGATGATGATTGGTGACCATTAATGACCATTAATGACAATTAGTGATCACTAATGACCATTAATCACCATTGATGATGATTGGTGACCATTAACCACCGTTGATGATGATTTGTGACCATTAGTGACCATTAATGACAATTAGTGACCACTAATGACCATTAATCACCATTGATGATGATTGGTGACCATTAATGACCATTAATCACCATTGATGATGATTGGTGACCATTAATCACCGTTGATGATGATTGGTGACCATTAGTGACCATTAATGACAATTAGTGACCACTAATGACCATTAATCACCGTTGATGATGATTGGTGACCATTAATGACCATTAATGACAATTAGTCACCACTAATGACCATTAATCACCATTGATGATGATTGGTGACCATTAATCACCATTGATGATGACTGGTGACCATTAGTGATCCCTAATAACCACTAACGACCATTAATCACCATTAATGATCATCAGTGACAATTAACAACCCTTAATGACCTTCAAGGTCCATCCTGATCCACCCCATCCCTGATTCCCGCCTATCCCTGCAGCCTGAAGCTTCCCGATGTCCTGGGGAAGGCGTCCAGCACCCACCTGGATCAGAGCCTGTTCCGCTTCCGGAGCGCCCACCTGGAGCAGATCCTGAAGGTGGCCCTGAGGCTCAAGCACGACAATTCCGACCTTTCCCAAATCCTGGATCAGGCGGAGGATTGGCTGTGCCGGCTCCGGGCCATGGCGGAGGAGGTGACTCTTCCCAGTTTTCCCATCCATGTTTTGGTGGGAAGCAGGGGTGTTTTTCCATCCTGGCTCCCAAATCCATGGATTCTCCCATGGCGCCAGGTTTGGCTCCGATGGTTGAGGCTGGTCTCGCTCATGGATGGGTTGAGGTCAACTCATGGATAGGGAGCAGCCCTGGGAGAAGGACTTGGAATGTTGGTGGGTGGGAAGCTCCACGTGCTCCGGGCTAACCCCACAGAAGGAAAAGTGGGAATTCTGACCCTCTGCCATGGAGCCAGGCTGGGAGAGCTGGGAATGTTCCCCTGGAGAAGGGAAAATTCCAGGGAATGCTCAGAGTGCCTGGAGGGGCTCCAGGAGAGCTGGAGAGGGACTGGGGACAAGGGACAGAGGGACAGGAGCCAGGGAATGGCTCCCACTGGGAAAGGGGAGCTTGGGCTGGGATCTTGGCAAGGAATTCCTGGCTGGGATTTGTCTGGAATTCCCAGATTTGCTGGGGCTGCCCCTGGGAATGTCCAAAGCCAGGTTGGATCCAGCTGGGATGGTGGGAATTATCCCTGTCCATGGATGGGGTGGGAATGGATGGGATTTAAGGTCTTTTCCAACCCAAACCACTCCGGGATTCTGGAGCCCCTCTGCTCTGTAGCCAGGCTGGGAGAGCTGGGAATGTTCCCCTGGAGAAGGGAAAATTCCAGGGAATGCTCAGAGTGCCTGGAGGGGCTCCAGGAGAGCTGGAGAGGGACTGGGGACAAGGGACAGAGGGACAGGAGCCAGGGAATGGCTCCCACTGGGAAAGGGGAGCTTGGGCTGGGATCTTGGCCAGGAATTCCTGGCTGGGATGGAATTCCCAGATTTGCTGTAGCTGCCAATGGATCCCTGGAGTGCCCAAGGCCAGGCTGGATGGACTTGGATCCACCTGGGATCATGGAAGTTATCCCTGCCCATGGAACTGGGATGAGCTTTAAGATGCCTCCCAACCCATCCCAGTCCGTGATTTCACAATCCCATTCTGGGCTGTGCTGGTGGATCCCTCCTAAAGGTATCCTATGGATTTGTGTTTTCCAGCCCCAGAACAGCCTCCCGGACATCATCATCTGGATGCTCCAGGGGGACAAGCGCGTGGCTTTCGCCCGCATCCCGGCCCACCAGGTCCTGTATTCCCGGAACATCTCCAACTGCTGCGGCCGGAACTGTGGGAAGCTCCAGACCATCTTCCTCAAGGTACTTTTGGAAGCACGTCCAGGTGGAATCTTGATTTTCCAAACAGTTTTCCTACTAAAAAGAATTAAAAAGATGGAAAATCCAGCACGGAAAGCTCAAATCCCAACACAATGTTCAGCTTCATGGAATTGTGGAAAGTTCTGGGTTAGGAGAGACCTTAAATCCTTGACCTGGTCTGTGTTCCTGTCCTTGTCCTTGACTTTGCCCATGTCCCTGAGTTTCTTCCTGACCCTGTCCTTGTCCTTTTCCCTGGATTTGTCCCTCATCCTGTCCTTGTCCCTATCCATGGCCCTGACCTTGTCCATGTCCTTTTCCCTATCCCTGTCCATGTTCTTGTCCCTGTCCCTGACCTTTCCATCGCCTTGTCCTTGTCTCCGATCCTGTCCCCGATCCTGTCCCCGATCCTGTCCCCGATCCTGTCCCTGATTCTATCCCTGGTCCTGTCCAGGACCACTGGAATTCCGAAATTCCTCAAGGTCACCTGGGGTCACATTTTAGGGATGTCGATGGTGCCATTGGGATGATCCTGAAGGTCTTTTCCAACCTCAATTCCATGATCCCAAAGTGTTCCACCCATTCCTGACTTTATCCCGTGACTGCGCCATGTCCCACCTTCCCCATCCAGGGATCCTCATTCCCACCCTTCCGGCCTCCCAGAATTCCCGTTAATCCCTTCCCGGGGACCTTTTCCTTGGCAGTATCCGCAGGAAGAGGTGATGGGGCCGCGGATCCCGGCGCAGATCCGCGTGCGGCTCTGGTTTGGATTGGCCGTGGATGAGAAGGAATTCAACCAATTCGCCGAGGGAAAACTCTCCGTCTTCGCCGAAACCGTGAGCATTCCCGAGGGATCTTCATCCTGGTGGGAAAAGGGGTGGGCTGCACCTAAAACCTCCTCGTTCCCTAAAAACTGTGGGAAGGAGGAGCTGTTTCCACCAGCTCAGCCTGGAATGCTGAGGGGAAAGTTGGGAATGAGCCATGGATGTCCCTCACAACGGGAAAATCGGGATGCCGTGGAATGGGTTGGCCTTTTCCCAGGAAGTCTGTCCCTCTGCAGGGATTCTTCACGGGATTCTGTGGGATTATTCATGGAATTCTGTTATTCCAACCCCAAATCCATCTTTTTTTTGGCTCTCCCAGTATGAGAACCAGACCAAGCTGGCGCTGGTGGGGAACTGGGGCACCACCGGCCTCACTTATCCCAAATATTCCGACGTCACCGGCCGGATCAAGCTTCCCAAGGACAGCTTCCGGCCTTCCGCAGGATGGACCTGGGCTGGGGATTGGTTCATCTGCCCGGAAAAGACGTGAGTGTGGCTTTTCCACCAGGAATTCCCGGGAATCCCGAAATCTGATGGCAAAATCTGGGATGCCTCCGTGTTTCCTTGCCTGTGCCCACAGATGTGATTCCCGCTTATTCAAATCTTGGGATGTTCCAAAACTGAGGCGCTTTGGGGTGGGATTTTCATCCTGGTTTGGGTTTTTCCCGAGGAGGAACTTTCCTTGGAAGGGTGGGAGAAGTTTGGGAGCGCTGAGGATGGCACAGGAGGAAGGTGGGATGTAGAATCCCTGATTTTTGGGTATTCCCGGGATTCAGGTTGTTGCACGACGTGGACGCCGGACACCTGAGCTTCGTGGAGGAAGTGTTTGAGAACCAGGTCCGGCTTCCCGGAGGGCAGTGGATCCACATGACCGACTCCTACACGGATGTGGTGAGGGAAAACTGGGAATTCCGGGAGCCGGGCTGGAATCCCAGGGGAAATTTAGGGATCGGTTTGGGTGAGAATTCCCTGCGTCCCACAGAACGGGGAAAAGGTCCTGCCCAAGGATGAGATCGAGTGTCCTCCAGGCTGGAAGTGGGAAGATGTGGAATGGGACACGGATCTCAACAGGGCTGTGGATGAGAAAGGTACTAAAGATGGAATTTTGGGATCTGGGATTTCAAAATTTTGGGGACGCTGGAGTTTTGGGATCTGGGATTTGGGAAGTTTTGGATTTCTTTCCATGGTCTGTGGATCAAAACATTCCCATGGCTGTGGGAACTGGATCAGGAGAAGGGATCAGGCTCTGGGGGATCCTTTGTCTCTGCCTGGAACTGTGGGATGGAAATTCCCAAAGGCAGTGCTGGGATAATCTGGGAAGATCCTGGTGGAAAAGAAACAGAAAACACCAGGCTGGAGAGTGATGGGATGGTCCTGGGGGCTGGAATGGCTGGAGGGAAGGCGGGAAGAGCCTCCAGGGTGGGATTTGGAGCCAAGGACACCACGGATCCATCCCTGGGCATTCCAGAGGGATGGATTGTGCCCTAAGGAAGGAAATCCAACTGGGAAGTTTTGCCGGATTCAGCCACACCTTCACTGTTGGAAATTCCTGGTGGGAGCCAAGGTGGGAGGGGAGGCTCTTCTCCCACCTCCACCAGGCGTTCCCTTCTTCCCAAGGCTGGGAATACGGGATCACGATCCCGCCGGAGCGCAAGCCCAAGGCCTGGGTGCCGGCGGAGAAGATGTTCCACACCCACCGGCGCCGGCGCTGGGTGCGGCTCCGCCGGCGCGACCTGGAGCACATGGAAGCCATGAGAAAGGTGGGATTGGCCGGGAAAAGGTGCCACCGGATCGGGATGTGGCCCTGAACCCCCCGGGTGGGTGCCTGGCTTTGGCAGGATCTGCTTTTCCTTGGAGGTTGAGGGGGGCTCATCCCGGTTTCCACTGGAAAATGCCACATTCCCAGGGGTGGAGGACATTCCAGAGGGATTGACTGGGATGAGGGGTGGGATGGGGACATCCAGGGGAGTCCCCGAGTGTGGGAAGTGGGGGAGGGCCGATGGCCCCAGCCTGTCCCTATCCCGATTCCCTCTAGATGGTGCCATTGGACCGGGAATGCCGCTTCCGCTCCTCGGTCCTCCCCGCCGCTTCCCAAGGCCATTTGACTCCCTTCCCAAAAAATTTTCGGGATAACTGTAGCCACTGTCACCCCATTTGCTGTGGGAGTCACCGGGAGAAAAACCTTCCAGGATTGGGGTGGATGATCCAGGGAGGAATTCCAGAGGTGGCAGAGCCATGGGAGGGGTCGGGATGATGGGAAAGGGAAAAGCGGGATGGGAAGTGGAGCTGCTGGAGCTCCACGGGCCTGGGCAGGATCTGGCCCCAGCCCAGCGATCCTGCTCCGAGTGGGATTCGCGCCAGGGATTGGTGGAGGGCCGCATTCCCAGTGTGGATCCCATAGCAGCAGTGGTAGTGGTTGGATTGGGAGACTCCAGATCCATCCTGGGAATTGTCCAAGGCCAGGTCGGACACTGGGGCTTGGAGCAACATGGGATAGTGGGACATGTCCCTGAACTTGGATGCGGTGGAATGGGATGGGATTTAAGATCCCTTCCCATCCAAACTATTCCAGGATTCTGGAGCCCCTCTGCTCTGGAGCCAAGCTGGGAATGTTCCCCTGGAGAAGGGAAAATTCCAGGGAATGCTCAGAGTGCCTGGAGGGGCTCCAGGAGAGCTGGAGAGGGACTGGGGACAAGGGACAGAGGGACAGGAGCCAGGGAATGGCTCCCACTGGGAAAGGGGAGCTTGGGCTGGGATCTTGGCAAGGAATTCCTGGCTGGGATGGAATTCCCAGATTTGCTGTGGCTGCCCCTGGATCCCTGGAGTGCCCAAGGCCAGGCTGGACACTGGGGCTTGGATCTATCTGGGATAGTAGGAAGTGTCCCTGGAATTGGCTGAGCTTTAAAGTCCCTTCCATCCCAAACCATTCCATGATTCCATGACAATCTCCAGGGCCTTTCCCAACTGAAACCAAATGACCTCAGAATCTTTCCCAACCTGAATATTCCTACGATTCCCCAAACAATTCCGTGACCCCATTCCATTATTCCAACCTGGACGAGACACAGGGAAAAGCTGAAGTGGAACAACCATATCCAACAACATCTTGCAAAACCTAAATCCAACTTTTGGGTCAATCCTGGCAAACCTGATCCCTGTGATCCCTGTCCGGCAGCACAAGCAGGAGGAGCTGGATGGGGATGGTTGGGAATACGCTTCCCTCTTTGGCTGGCGCTTCCACCTCCAGCAGCGCCGCTCCGACTCCTTCCGCCGGCGCCGCTGGAGACGCCGGATGGAGCCTCTGGAACGCACCGGCCCCGCTGCCGTCTTCGCCTTGGAAGGGGCTCTGGTAGGGAACAGCTTCTCCCATTCCCAAATTTCCACCTGGGAATATTATCAGCCGCTCGTGATCTGCTTCCCGTTATCCCGTTATCCACCCTGTTTGTTCCCTGCTTTCCCTCTTTATTCCTGGCTTTATCCACACTCTGGATTTCCCAGCCACCACTTTTCCAATGATTCCATGAGAGCCAAAGCAGCACAAAGCTCCCATTCTGAGTTTTTATGGAATTATTTTCCTCTCCTGTTTGGTTTTCCCCCCGCTTTTTCCTTGCCCTGCTTTTCCGCCCAATCCAGAGTTGATCCCTTTGGAATAAAAGCGGCTCCGTGGCGTTTTCCATGAGCTGTTCCCATCTCAGGGCATCCTGAGTGCCTCTCACCCCCAGAGCTCTCGCCGGGATTTTTCCCTAGTCCCTTTTTCCCCACGGGATCTGCAATTGGAAACCGCTCCTTTTCCCACAAATATTCCAAAGCCAATGGGGAATTAGGAGAACCTGGGAATCTCCAAGAGCTTTTCCAATCTAAATATTAGGATTCTGGGGAATTCTGGAGACCCAGACTCCTCTTGGACACCTCAGAGAATTCCATCCCAATGAGGAATCCCGGCTCTGGAGTTGATCCTGTTATCCCGACTTCCCATTGTTTTCCTTGCAGGGGGGAGTGACGGATGACAAGAGCGACGACGGAAAATCCGACGGAAAATCCGCATCCACCCTGAGTTTTGGAGTCAACAGGCCCACGATCTCCTGCATTTTTGACTGTAAGGATCCCAGGGGAGCAGGAAAGGCGTTTCCCATCCTTTTCCCAGAAAAAGATGGAAAAAAGAAAGGTGGAAAAATGGTGGAGGGGAGGACAGTGCTTATGGGAACATCCACAGGCTCCAGGATTGGAGCCCGGGATATCCTGGGGGGATTAAGCTGGGATTCCCTCAGATGGGAGACTGGGAGTGATGGAATCACATCCCTGGGATCTTTTCCATGTTTCCCGTTCTTCTGGCAGCCGGGAACAGATTCCACCTGCGCTGTTACCTGTACCAGGCGCGGGATCTCATGGCCATGGACAAGGACAGCTTCTCCGGTGAGTCTGGATCCACACCGGCATGGAATTCCGGGAACAGAGGAACCATCCATGGGCCAGGACATCTTCCCCTATCCCAGGTGGATCCAACCTGGCCTTGGATATTCCCAGGGATCCAGGGGCAGCCCCAGCAAATCTGGGAATTCCAGCCCAGCCCCTCCCCACCCTCCCAGCCAGGAATTCCTTGCCAAGATCCCAGCCCAAGCTCCCCTTTCCCAGTGGGAGCCATTCCCTGGCTCCTGTCCCTCTGTCCCTTGTCCCCAGTCCCTCTCCAGCTCTCCTGGAGCTTTTCAGGCTCTGGAATTGGCTCCAAGGAATCTCTGGAGCCCTCCTTTCTCCAAGCTGTCCGTGATGGAGCACAGGGAGAAACTTCCATGGGATGTGCCCAGGGAAAATTCCAGAGGGTGACAGGATTTAATCAGGACCCCAGCACAGTCCGGCCCCTTCTTCTCCAGCATCCTCAGGAAATTCCTTGTTGGATTCGATCCAGTGGAAGGTTCCCAGCCCATGGGGATGGATCTGGATGATCCCTAAGATCCCTTCCATCCCAAAACAATCCGTGGTTCCATGATTCCATAATTCCTTAGCGTCCCCCTTCTCCCAGCTGCACAGGGGCCAGCAGTCCCTGGGGTTTGGGATTTAGAGGGGGGAATTTCCATGGAAAAAATGGAATCCAGGTGGGAAACAGGGGCTGGCCTTTGTGGAGGAGTTTTCCATGTCCTTCTGCTCCATCCTCTCCCAGCATAACTCCAGGGATTTCTGAAATTCCCAGGATTGTGCTGGTGTGGCTGGGACTTTCCATGCTGGGTTTTTTTTAGGATAGGAAAGAAGTTGGAATAGGAGAAATCCTTTTATGCATGGGATTTCCATGCTGGAGCTGCTTGGATGGTTGGATGCAGGTGGAGCATCCCTCTGGAATGTGGTTGAGAGGGGGATGGAATGACTGGAATTTTCCCAGCAGCCGAAAAATCCCAGGTCCTCATCCCTGGAGGCTGGGCCATCCCAGCCAGGTATTCCCAGTAGTGCTTTGGAGCTGGAAAAGCAGGAAAAGGGAATGTCACCTCCTCTGGATCAGAGCTGGGATAATGTGGAATGTCCCAAATCCTGGGAAAAGGGTCCACTGGCGTGAGAGATCCAACATCCCTCCAGGGCTATCCCTGCGTGATTCCCATGAGAATTTACAAAGGGATTCGGGTGGGATTTCCCTCCAAATTCTGGGATTTAAACCCCACTTGGAACAACACATCCCGGGAATGATGGGAAACGGGGACAATCCCAAAACTGGGGAAGCGGCTGGACCGTGATCCCAAGGGAATCCTGCTTCTCCCAGTAGCTGGAATAATGTGATTATTGGGAATAAACACCCCAGAGCATCCAAAAAAATCCCCCAGTGCCTGCTCCCACCTGGAATTCCCACAAAAGGCTCCTTGTCGGGATGAGGAGGTGGGAGCGAGGTGAGCTCATGGCCCGGGAGGGGAGTCCAGAATCGTTTTCCTTTGGAAAAATCCCGGCCAAGGACAACACGAGCAGCAACGTTCCACAATGTGGGATTGTGATTCCCGCTGCCGGGAATAAAGGAGTTCATTAAAGGGGCTCGGCAGTTGGAAAAATAAACATTCCCTGCTCCCAACAAAGGGGCTTTAGAGAGGCTTCCATGAAAAAAAAAAAGGAGGAGAAGGGAGGGAAAAATGGAGGGCAAAAAAAAAAAAGGAAAAGCAGCTCCAGATCCGGGGGTTTTTGTTTATTGTAATGGATTTGGATGAGGAAAAGTGGGAAAGGCTCTTCCCACTTGGGAATGTCTGAGTGGTCCTGGATTGTTAGGCGTGGATAGAGGGGGCAATCCAACCCCTGGTGCCCCAATTCCTTGGAAAAGGGGGGGAAAAGGGGGAATGCTGCTGGGATCAGCTGGCCCTGCTTCCAGGGGGTGTGGGATAATCCTGGGATATCAATCCAGTGGTTTGTGGGATGATCCTGGGATCTGAATCCAGGGATGTGGGATGTTCCTGGGATCTGAATCCAGGAACCTGGGATTTTCTTGGGATCTGAATCCAGGGATACGTGTGGGGTGTTCCTTGGATCTGAATCCATGGGGGTGGGATAATCTTGGGATCTGTAGCCAAGGATTTGTGGAATAACTCTGGGATCTGAATCCAGGGGGGGTGTGGGATTATCCTGGGAGCTGCATCCTTTGATTCCCACGGAAGCCCTCAGGGATGTGTGGGATGTTCCTGGAATCTGCATCCAGGGATGTGTGGGATGCTCCCCACCCTCCCAGCCAGGAATTCCTTGCCAAGATCCCAGCCCAAGCTCCCCTTTCCCAGTGGGAGCCATTCCCTGGCTCCTGTCCCTCCATCCCTTATCCCAAATCCATCTCCAACTCTCCCGGAGCTCCTTTAGGCCCCAGAAGTGGCTCCAAGATTTCCCTGGATCTTTAGAACAATCCCAACTCTCAGACTGAGCCCTTCCAGCTGGAAAACCGCCTGGAAAACCAGGCAGTTCAGGCTTGGAATAACGAATTCCAGGTGGGATAGACTGGACAGCTTCTTCCTCCTCAAGCAAGACCTGAGGAACCTCAGGGTGAGATGGAGCGAGCTGAGAATTCCCAAATTCTTTGGGAACTGGTTCTGGATGGAGCTTGGAATTCTGGGAAGAGCCAGAGCTGGGATCCATCCCTGAATCCCAGTCCTCGAATCCCATTCCCACAGATCCCTACGCCATCGTGTCCTTCCTGCACCAGAGCCAGAAGACGGTGGTGGAGAAGAACACCCTGAATCCCACCTGGGATCAGACCCTGATCTTCTACGAGATCGAGATTTTCGGGAATCCTCGGGATGTGGCCGAGTCCCCTCCCAACATCCTGGTGGAAATCTACGATCACGACACCTATGTGAGTGTGGCAATTCCCGCCGGGAATTCCCAGCCTCTGGAATGCGGTGTCCGGCACCTCTCAGTGGTTCAGCCTTTGAGGTGGACATTCCATAGGGGAAAAATTCCAGGGAAAATCCTGTGGTGTCCTTGAGGTTCCATTCACTGAGCTTCCTCATTGCCATATAAAGTGGGAAAAACAATGGAGTTTCCTCATGGAAAAACCTTGGGATAAAGTTGGACGCAGTTGTGGAAGTAGGGAAATGCCCTCTGCTGTTTGCCGTGTCCAAAGGGCCTGGGAATTTATGGAATTCTGGGGGGTTGGTGGCAGGAACTCGAGGCTGTTCCCAGAAAAACCAGGCTGGAAAAAAAACAACCTAGAAAAACCAAGTGCAGGAGGGAATTCTGTGGGAAAACACTTGGAACACACCTTGGGAAGGGCTCGGAATTATCTCAGGAATCTTTTTCCCTCTCTCCTGCTCCTTCCCAGCAAGAGGCAGGAAAGATTCCAAAGATCCCAGTGCAGAGCAGGGAATGGGATTTTTAGGAGCTGCCAAAGGCTCTGAGCTCCTGCTCTGGAAAAACTGGGATAGAAATTCCTAAAAATGTGTTTTTCTCCTAAAAAAAGTATTTTTCCAGCCTTTGGAATTCCTGGGAAAAGTTGGAAAACTGGTGGCTCTATGGGCACCAATCCCATTTGTTTTCCCTGCCCCGATCCTATTACGGGATCATCCCTTGCTCCCAATTTTTGGCTGAGGCGGGGAATGGAGTTGTCTGGGAAAAGGGATCGGAAGGATGATCGCAATTCCCATGGTTCCCAATTCCCTGGAATTGCCTTTCCAGGGCGCGGATGAATTCATGGGACGCTGCATCTGCCGGCCCAGCCTGGAGCGCTCGCCCCGCCTTTCCTGGTATCCTGTCCTCAAATCCGGCCGGAATGTCGGGGAGCTCCTGGCTGCCTTCGAGCTGATCCAGAGGGAAAAGGTGAGATCCACCCCTGAGCCTGGAATGCTCTGGAATTCCGGTTCTTCCCCAGCATCCAGCTTTTCCAGGTATTGGGTTTATTCCATTGGTGCCTTTGGAGCCTGCGGAGAGCCAGAGGGATTTGGGATTTATCCCTTTTTGAGGGATAATTCCATAGGATGAGGTTTTCCAGGTGGGAAAAGAGGTGGTTTAGGGTTGGTCTGATGGAAAACTGCAGAATTCCAGGTGGGATGAGCTGGATGGATCCTTCTCTCCTTGGACAAGTTCTGGGTGGGGTCTCAGAGACATTGAGGGAGCTGGGAATTGCCAAATCCCTAAGGAATGCTGCCCTTTCCTTGGAATTACTTCTGGAGGGGGTTTAGGAGAGCTGAAGCCACTCCGGCTTTTCTAACTGCTGTATCCCAGATGTGCCAGGAAAGAGGGATGGGCTGGAAAGATCAATCCCTGTATCCCGTTCTTCCTTCCGAGCCCCGAGGTTTGTCTGGGAATGGGAATCCTACAATTCCCTCTTCCCTGGAAATCCCAGCCCAAACACCAAGACCAGGCCCAGATATCCACACGTGGCCTCTTCCTCCTCCTCATTCCCTCAGAACTGGGTGGGAAAGGCCTTGGAAAAGCCTTGGAATGAGATGTGCTCCTGGAGGAGCTGTTTGATCCTAGTGGGAATCATCCGGGTGGATTTGGTGCTTCCCGGCTGGATGAGAGTCCAGGATTTTTGGAGCTGGGAACTGAAGGGGCTGAAGTTTCCCTGCTGGAAAAAGAGGAATTAGCAGTGGGAATGTTAATGGGAATTGTGTTCCTTCCCTGCAGCCGGCTGTTCATCACATCCCTGGATTTGAGGTAATTCCTGACTCCTCCTTGGAAATCCAGCACCATTCCCAGCTTTCCCGGGGATTTGGAGCCCTGCAGTAATCCCTCCATCCTGTCCTAGGGAATTCTTTCAGGATGAAGGGATTCCCGCATAGAGATTCCTCTTTTCCTCAGCTGATAAGGAAAACTGGGAATGGGGCAGCTCCTTCCTGACAGGGCAAATTCATCCCATTCCAGGATCCAGAAGATCCCATGGAGATGCTCCAAAGGTTCTGGAGCCAGGCTGGGAGAGCTGGGAATGTTCCCCTGGAGAAGGGAAAATTCCAGGGAATGCTCAGAGTGCCTGGAGGGGCTCCAGGAGAGCTGGAGAGGGACTGGNTCAGAGTGCCTGGAGGGGCTCCAGGAGAGCTGGAGAGGGACTGGGGACAAGGGACAGAGGGACAGGAGCCAGGGAATGGCTCCCACTGGGAAAGGAGAGCTTGGGCTGGGATCTTGGCAAGGAATTCCTGGCTGGAATGGAATTCCCAGATTTGCTGGGGCTGCCCCTGGATCCCTGGGAATATCCAAGGCCAGGTTGGATCACCCTGGGATGGTGGGAGGGGGTGCCCCCGGATGGGATTTAAGGATTTTCCCTCCCCAGACCATTCCGGGATTCCCTTTGGGTGTCAGCTCCAATTATAAACCTTGGGATGGGTTTAGGGATGAGAATTCCTCTAATTCCATCCTCTCCTCCTCTTTCCCAGAGTGAGCTCTCCTCCAGCCTGGATGAGGTGAGTCTTTGGGAATTCCTTCTTTTTCCTCTTGGAATTGTTCAAATTTGCTTCCTTGGGAAATCCTCTTTATCACGGATGGGTCAAGCCAGGAGCATCAGGATTTTGGGAATGTGAGTGAGCTCCGGCTGGATGGGCTTCTCCTCGTGGCTGGGAATGTTGGGATCCATTTACCCTCTGGAATGAGGTGTCCCATCCTTTCATCCCAGGCGTGCCAGAGCCGGAATTTTGGGCTGCCCTTGGGAAATCCCAATTCCAAACTTTCCATAGGGAATTTGCCATGAATTGAGGATGTGCTGGACTGTTCCCGTTGTTCCAAAGGAGATTTTCATCCCTTGTCCCGGGAAAAATTCAGGGATATGTTGGACGGGGCTTGGAGCAACCTGAGATAGTGGAAGGTTCCCTGCCCATGGAATGGGATGAGTTTTCCAATGGAAACTATTCCATGAGATTCCATCATTCCCGTGACTCTGATTCCACACCCGGAATCCTAAGACTATCCTTGTGCATCCCATGGAGCCAATCCCAGTCTGAACCAAGAGTTGGGATCTTGGAAATCTCCAGGCAGGGAAAGGGAACAACTCTTGGAATGTTGTGGTGGCCCTCAGAGCCATCAATCCCAAAAATCCAGGAGATGAGCTAGAAAACACCGAGCCACATTCCCAGGAAAGGTTGGATCGGGTGGGATAAACACATTTTTCCAAGATTTTTCTTTCCCACCCAAGCTGCCTTTCCTTGGGAGCTCATCCTGCTGTTCCGTGTGTCCATAATCATCTCTTTCCTCTTTTTTCCTCCCACCGCCGGAATTCCGGGATGGGGCATTCCACAGCTCTGCATCCCTGCCTTGTTCTCTGAGGGGCTCCTCCAATGGGTATCACTCTCTTCCCTTTCCTTCCCTTCTCCCGGAATCCAAGAAAATCCCGGCAGAGCCTTTCAGGGCGAGCAGGATTGCAGGAACCCCATCCCAACAAAATTCCTGAGGCTGCATCCCAAGGATTGGTGCCGGCCAGAGCCTCCGGTGCCTCATGGATGCTCCTGAAGGACCAGGCTGGCTCCATCCTTGTCTACTTTTTCTTGGGAATGGCCTTTTGGGGTTCAATTCCCACTGAACTCTGGGATTTATCTTTGGATCACATCCCAGCTTCCATAAAAACTGGGAATCATTTCCAGCCTTTATTTATTTATATTTTTTTTTGGCCTCATCCATGTTGATTTTCACTCATCCTGGATCCAAATCCGGGTTGGAATCCATCATCTCCAGAGCTCCTTGCCACCTGGATTCCCTTGGATTTATCCTTGTTCAACCCATCCTGGCTCCCAGCAGGATTTTCATGGATTTTCCTCCCTCCAGGTGGCTTTGCCCGGGAATTCCTTTTCCCCACTCCCATCCTGATCCTTCCCTGCTCCTGCCTCATCCCCAGCATTCCCTGCTCATTCCCACCCATTCCAACATTCTCTCCTCTGACATTCAGCTGGAAACCAGGAGAACACCTGGAAAACCACTGGGAGAGCAGCAGGAAGGACTTTAAAAAACCCGGAATGACGCAGGGTTCAAATCCAGGTTGATCCTGGAGAGGATGGATGGGGCAGGATTTCTTTCCCAAGGACTTCCCACTGGATTTGCCGAAGGATTGATCCCTAAAATCCCTTTCAACCCAAACCATTCCATGATTTTAGGCCTGAACAGCCTAAAATGAGGGTTTTTTTGGGAATTAGAGTTCCAGAGGTAACCCAGGGAATGTGGGAATTCTCTGCAGCTCTCCCTTCTCCTTCAGATTATCCTGGATAAAATTCCCGCTCCCTGCCAGCACTAACCGCGCTGGGGGCAGGTGGATCATGGGATGGAGTTGTGGCTGCTCCATGTGGGAATTCCAGGCACCTCTTCCCACATGGAATTCCTGAAAACCTTCTGCTAATGAGCAGCTGGACTCAGGAACCAGCAATTCCCAAGGAAAATTAAGTTTTATTGGGAATTTTATGGGAAAAAAATTGGAATTTTATGGGAAGTTGGGGTAGTAATTGGATGATCCTTAAGGCCCTTCCCAAACCCAACCATTCCACGATTCCATCTGGAAAATCCCTTTGGACATCCAATCCCTCACCCACATGTCATTGAATCCAATAAAATTCCAGCTGGGAGAGAATTCCATGCTCCTGGGATGGATTTCCAGAGATTTTGCTTTCATTCCGGCTTTTCTGGGGGCTCTGGGAGATGCAGGAAAAGAAAAGGGGAGGAATTCTGGCTCCCACTTTCCTCCTCCAGAAAGGCAAGTTGAGAATTCCTTGGCTGCCTCCCGGATTTGGGATGATCCCAATGGAATTCCCGGGTATTTTCACCCGAGCTCTATCCCACGGATTTCTGGATTATCCATGAGGTGTGGGATGAACCACAGCCCCTTCCCAGATCCAGAGGCGTTGCCGATCCCCATCCCACGGTGCTGCTCCCACTACATTTTTTGGGAATCGCCCAACTACTGATCCTGCTGCTGCTGCTGCTTCATCCCTTTCCTCATCCCACCGTGATCCCGGCATGGGATAGAGGCGGTTCCATCCCGTCATTCCCTAAAAAAGGTTTAACCTTGGAGGGCAGATTCCTGGGAAAAGCTCAGGGATGTCGGATCTTCTCCAGGGTGGATTAAAGAGGCAAAACCACTTTTCCGGCACCTCCATCCTGACTCTCCTCTGGCTCTCCTGGATTTCCTGGGAGAGATGAGTCTGGAAAGGATGGAGATTCCGGGTGGATCCAACATGGAGAGGGGGTTGATGTCCCATCCTGGCGCTTCCTGATGTTTTCCTTTCCCTCTCGGCTCCCGCAGTCCGCGGATTCCGACCTTCCCTACCCGCCGCCGCAGCGGGAGCCCAACGTGTACATGGTCCCGCAGGGAATCAAACCCGTCCTGCAGCGCACGGCCGTCGAGGTGAGCCACGGATCCGGGAGCGGGAGCCGGGAATGGGATCCCAGCTGGATTCTGGGCTGCGATTCCAAAGAAAACGGAGGCTCCAGGGGGAACTTGTGGCTCTTCACAATTCCCTGACAGGAAGGTGGAGCTGGGGGGGTTGGGGGTCTGCTCGCAGGGAACCAGGGATGGGATGAGGATGAAGCTCAGGGAAACAAGGAATGGGATGAAGATGGAATTTAGGGAATGAGAGATGGGATGAGGATGAAGTTCAGGGAACAGGGGATGGGATGAAGATGGAATTCAGGGAATGAGAGATGGGATAAGGATGAAGCTCAGGGAAACAAGGAATGGGATAAGGATGAAGTTCAGGGAACAGGGAATGGGATGAAAATGGAATTCAGGGAATGAGAGATGGGATAAGGATGAAGCTCAGGGAATGAGGATTGGGATAATGATGAAGTTCAGGGAAACAAGGAATGGGATGAAAATGGAATTTAGGGAATGAGAGATGGGATAAGGATGAAGCTCAGGGAATGATGATTGGGATAATGATGAAGTTCAGGGAAACAAGGAATGGGATAAAGATGGAATTCAGGGAACAGGGGATGGGATGAGGATGAAGTTCAGGGAAACAAGGAATGGGATGAAGATGGAATTCAGGGAATGAGAGATGGGATAAGGATGAAGTTCAGGGAAACAAGGAATGGGATAAGGATGAAGGTCAGGGAATGAGGGAGGGGATAAGAGTGAAGCTCAGGTTGGATATCAGGAGGAATTTCCTCATGGAAAGGGTGGTCAGGCAGTGAAAGTGCCCAGGGAGCTTTGGAATTCCCATCCCTGAAAGTGTCCAAGGAACTCCTGATGTGGAGACGGGGATCGGTCACAGATTGAACTCCATGACCTTGGAGGTCTTTTCCAACCTCAGGGATTCCATAATTCCCACCACTGCTTGTCCTACATGGTTGAACCTCCAGGTTCTCCTCCACTGCTGAGGAGCTCCATGGAAACCTGGAAGCAGAGCTTTGGATCAGGATTTGGTGTCCCCTCATCCCACAGATCCTGGCCTGGGGGCTGAGGAACCTCAAGAGCTTCCAGCTGGCCAGCGTGACCTCGCCCAGCCTGCTGGTGGAGTGCGGGGGGCAGCGCGTCCAGTCTGGCGTCATCAAGAACGTCAAGAAGAACCCCAACTTCGACGTCTGCGTGCTCTTCATGGAAGTGGTGAGGTCCCAACGGGACTGGGGTGGTGCAGGGGGAAGGGAAGGTCCTCAAAAATGGGGGGAAGGACCTTAAAACCTATAAAAATGGATCTGGTGAAGGACCTCCAAGTCCCATAAAAGGCCTGGAGGTCCCATGAAAATGGATCTTGTGGTGGAGGACCTCAAAGTCACATTAAAATATATTTTGTGAAGAACCCCAAAGTCCCATAAAAATTGATCTTTTGAAGGGTTTAGAGGTCCCATAAAAATGGATCTTTTGAAGGGTTTAGAGGTCCCATAAAAATGGCTCTTGTGGTGGAGGACCTGGAGGTCCCATAGAAGTGGATCTTGTGGTGAAGGACCCCAAAATCCCATAAAAGTAGATCTTGGCCTGAAGGACCTTGAAGTCCCATAAAAGTGGATCTTGTGAAGGACAGTCCTATGAAAATGGATTTTACGGTGAAGGACCTCAAAATCCCATAAAAATGGATCTGGTGAAAGACCTTAAGACCCCATAAAAATGGACCATGTGGAAGTGTCATGAAATGAGTTCTTCTGGTAAAGGTCCTCAAAATTCTATAGAAATGGTTTTTCTGGTGAAGTTCCTTCTGCCCCTGGTTTTTTGGGGGTGGTGCAGAACCTCTGCCCTCCCTTTCCAGCCTCATTCCATCTTCCCTTCCCTCTTCCCGCAGCGTCTGCCCAAGGAGAGCCTCTACAGCCCCCCCATCATCCTGAAGATCATCGACAACCGCCCCTTTGGCCGGAGACCCGTGGTGGGACAGTGCACGGTCCGCTCCCTCCAGGAATTCTACTGGGATCCCTCCCAGCAGGACACGGGGGCACCCCAAGAGCAGCCAGGTACGTGGGAATGTCGGGATTGGTGTCCTTCATGGAGTCATGGAATGGTTGGGTTGGGAGGGAACTTAAAGGTGACCCCGTTCCACCACATCTGTCGGCAGACGGACGTGGGCAGTGGGACATCTCCCACTGTCCCAGGTGGATCCAACCCCAATGTCCAACCTGGCCTTGGACACTGCCAGAGATCCAGGGGCAGCCACAGGAAATTTGGGAATTCCAGCCCAGCGCCTCCCCACCCTCCCAGCCAGGAATTTTTTCCCAATATTCCATTGAAATCTCCCCTCCTTCAGTTCAATCCATTCCTCCTTGTCTTGGCACTCCATATCCTTGTCCCAAGTCCTTCTCCTGGCTCCTTGAAGCCCTGGATGGGATGGGGATCATGGGATTGGGATCTTGGAGATGAGCTTTGGGTGGTGAGTAAAGTCTGGATGATGTTGGGATCATGGAGATGAACTTCATGTGGTGGGAAGGATCTGGGAGATGATGGGATCGTGGTGATGAACTTTGGATGTTGGGAAGTGTCTGGGATGAGTTTGGGATTGTGGAGATGAACTTTGGATGATGAAAGAATCTGGGATGAGTTTGGGATTGTGGAGTTGAATTTTGGATAATGGGAAATGTCTGGGATGAGTTTGGGATTATGGAGATGAATTTTGGATGATGAGAAGTGTCTGGGATGAGTTTGGGATTGTGGAGATGAATTTTGGATGATGGGAAGTGTCTGGGATGAGTTTGGGATTGTGGAGATGAACTTTGGATAACAGGAAATGTCTGGGATGAGTTTGGGATTGTGGAGATGAACTTTGGATGATTCTGGGATGAGTTTGGGATTGTGGAGATGAACTTTGGATAACAGGAAATGTCTGGGATGAGTTTGGGATTGTGGAGATGAACTTTGGATGATGAGAAGTGTCTGGGATGAGTTTGGGATTGTGGAGATGAATTTTGGATGATGGGAAATGTCTGGGATGAGTTTGGGATTGTGGAGATGAACTTTGGATGATGGGAAATGTCTGGGATGAGTTTGGGATTGTGGAGATGAATTTTGGATGATAAAAGAATCTGGGAGGAGTTTGGGATTGTGGAGATGAATTTTGGATAATGGGAAATGTCTGGGATGAGTTTGGGATTATGGAGATGAATTTTGGATGATTCTGGGATGAGTTTGGGATTGTGGAGATGAACTTTGGACGATGGGAAATGTCTGGGATGAGTTTGGGATTGTGGAGATGAATTTTGGATGATTCTGGGATGAGTTTGGGATTGTGGAGATGAACTTTGGACGATGGGAAGTGTCTGGGATGAGTTTGGGATTGTGGAGATGAACTTTGGATAATGGGAAATGTCTGGGATGAGTTTGGGATTGTGGAAATGAATTTTGGACGATGGGAAGTGTCTGGGATGAGTCTGGGATTGTGGAGATGAACTTTGGATGGTCTGAGGGTTCTGGATGGGATTAGGATCATGGCGGCGGGGTCTGGGAGAAACTGGGATCACTCCTGGAGGTCGATCCCAAGGTTTTTGGGCTCTGGGATTCCCAAATCCTGGGATCATGGTGCCGCTCCACTCCGGTTGCAGATGACGTCAGCCTGACGCCCAGGGACGACGTCCTCATCGACATCGATGACAAGGAGCCCCTGATCCCCATCCAGGTATGGAAAACGCGCTGGGGAGGTCCCGGATTCTTTCCGCACTCCGGTGGATCTGGTGAGGATGGATCCAAGGTGCCGATGTGAGGATGGATCCGCTTGGATCCATTCTTTTCCAACTTCCATGTGTTTTCCCTCCCTCTCCTCACCTGCACAACCCTGAACTCCTCCTCATTCCATAGGCTGGGAATGAGGGGCTGGATTTGCTTTCCCGATGGAGAGAAATCCATGTCAGGTTCTTCCCAAAGAAGGCAAAAATTCCCTGAGGCTCCGTCGTTCTCGGTCCATGGCCGGATCTCCTTTTCCCAGTTTGGCTCCTGGCTTGCTGGAATTTTACTGGACTGGGGTTGCAGAATCCCAAATCCATGGTGGTGGGAGTGGTGAGTTGGTGCAGTTCCAGTGATTTTGCGGGATCTCAGCATTCCTTTGGGAATGGATGAGGAATGGCCACATCCCTGGAGCTTCCGTCTTTCCAGTAACTTCCCGTGTCCACAGCCCTCGGGCGATCCCGGTGCCTCTGGAGCAGCTGGGAATAGTGTCAGGAATGTTCGGTGGATCTTTTCCTGGTCTCCCATCCCTTGGTTGGGATGTCAGGGGTTGGGATTTCCCTCCTGCCTATTCCTGGATGCCACAAGGCTGGAAAAGCTGGAGTTTCCAGGAGGAATCTGCCTTCCAGGTGTTTCCTGCCTCAGTTTCCCTGGCCTTGAGCGGTTTCAGCGATGGAGGAGCTGCTTAATCCGAGATGTCCAACTTGGGCATGGATCCTGCTCTTTATCCACGTCCTTGGTGGCTCCTGGGGGTTTCTATTCCCAGGGATTTTCTGGTGCTTTTGGATATTTGTGGTGCATCCCAAGCCAAGCTCGGGCTGGGTCCCACATCAAGCTGGGAATCAGGAATTTGGCTAATTCCCCAAAAAAACTGTGGATGTGGCCCTGCTCATTCCTGCTCATTCCAAATCCTCATCCCTGGAAGTGTCCGAGGCCAGGTTGGACGGGGCTTGGAGAAGCCTGGGGTAGTGGGAGGTGTCCCTGCCCATGGAAAAGGTGGAATGGGATGAGATTTAAGATCCTTCCCACCCAAATCATTCCATGATTCCGTGATTTTATTCACAGCTCTGTTGGGATCTTGTCCTGAAACCCTTCAGCCTCCGCTGGGAATGGGACAGGAGAACTGGGGAAAGTTGGCTCCAGTGAAAAGTGTAGAAAGGGAAAAGCAGCTCCCGAAAATGCTCCTGATTGGAGCATTGGGAAATTGGGAGAGCAGCCTCATTCCCTCCTTTTTGCTTCCCATTTAAGGATTTATCCTTATAATTTACAGCTGGGCTTCGTCCTTTATCAGGGAAGTAACTGGAGCTTGTCCATGGAAAACATGGAATTTAGGAACGGGACTTTTTGTAATAAAATCCCCCTTTTTTAAGTCCAGGACAGAGAAACTTGGGAGAAAACTGAGGGAATAATGTGGGAATCTCTGGGATCCCAACTTGAGATGTGGAGCTTGATCCCAGTTTCCCATGACCCGGATACGGGGTTTCCCATGATCTGGAATCAGGATTTCCCATGGTCCAGTGCAGGAAGTGCTCGGACATTCCCACTGGTGGGATTCCCAGTTTTTCTGAGTGGTCAGGATGGGGGAACACCCTGGGAAGTCCAGAGTGGGATTGGCCGTACCCGCAATTCCCTGGAATCCTCTGCTCCGATTTCTATGATTTATTAATGGAAAACCGCATTGGTGGCAAACCTGCTCCCATTTTTTCCTTTGGGAATAAAACCTCTGGATAGAGACACACCTCCCTTTATACCCCCTGGAGCTCTGGAAGCTGCCCCCGGGAATGCAGGATCCCATCCCAAAGATTCCAGAAGAAGGAACAAGAGGGAGCTTTGGAATCCTGGAGCTTCGTTCCCTGGGATAATTTTATTGGAAACATCTCCAAACTCCGATCAAGTTTAGGGGGGAGTTTAAACAGCAGGAAAAGGGGGAGACAAAACCATTCCAAGGTGGAAAATTCCAGAATTTTTTTTCCTGGAAAAAACCATTTCCCAAACAATCCCCCTGCCACCAATGGAGTTCTTCAGTTTGACCCCAGATTTGTCCTTCTCCATTTGTTTCTTTCCTTGTTTTTCCTGTTATTTCGGGAAAGGAGGGAGCTTCTTCCTGGAAAGCCAACCCAAAATTCCCACCTCGGAATTTTGGCCCTGCAAGCTCCTCCTCTCCTGGAGGTGGACATGGATTGAGGCATGGATGGACCACTGGGATCATTCCACCCATCCAGGGCCAGATTTAGCAGGTCAAGGAGCAATCCCGGCCCGCAGGGACCATCCTGCTCCGCTTTCCCGGGAAAAGGGACGGATCCCAAGCCAGCAGCTCGTGCTCGGGGCTCTTCGGAAGCGGGAGCCAGCATTTTTCATGGATGCATTTCCTTGTGTGGCTCCGGAGTTTTTCTCCCTCCTTGCCAAGCCTGGCTTTGGTCCCTGCTCCGAAGGATTGTTGGAACAAAGGATCCCTTTGTGCTTTCCCTGGAAAATTGGGAAAGCAACGAGAGGTGAAATCCCTCTGCTCTGAGGTTCGGGAGCGCATTATCCATCTCATCCAAGCGGGATCAGGAGTTCAGCCGGAGTTTAAAACCAGTTTGAATGCATGGGAATCACAGCCCGGTCACCCAAAGTGAGGAAAATCCTAAAAATCACAGAAAAGAGATTTTTCCTGGCTAATCCCATCTAGTTTGGTTCTTAGGGAAAAGGACATGGAGTGGGGTTTGGGAAAGGTGGAATTTGCGGAAGAGGCTGCTGGATCAGGCCTTGTCCTGCCTGCTCTGCTCCCGGTGTTTTCCGAGGGTTCATTCCCATGGGAAGAGGCTCGGGAAGGACTCCCACGGCTCCATGGGATTTGTTCTGTCTGCTCATGGATAAACCTGCTGGGAAGGAGCTGTTCCCGGCGACTCTGGGAGCCGCGAGGGAATCCTGGTGGAAAATGATCCTCAGGGAATTGTTTCCCTGTGTAACAGCTGGAAATTGTGGAGTTTGGCCCAAGGATGCTGGTCTGGATCTGCTGGGATCACAGCAGGGTTTTGGGAACAAGCCTGAGCTGGAAAACCGGGAATACCGTTGGGATTGGCCTGATCCCCAAACCTGGCTGTTTTCTGGGAAGAACCTCTCATTCCTCCGCTTTTCCACATCCAAGGGATCCTTGGAATCCTGGAGCAGTGCTGCTGCTTCCTGCCCACAGAAAGGATCCTGGGTTTTGGTTTGTCCAGGGCGAGCCAGGCTTGGACCTGGACCCTGATCCTGAGAATTCCCAATCCTATTCTAAATCCCCCTGGCTCAGATCCTTCCCTGGATTCTGGGATAACTCCCTGAGTTTGCAGCCTTCGATATCCAGGGAAAAGCTTCTCCTCCTCTGGGAATTACTAACAGCTTTTCCATATTTTTCCCCTTTAATATCCCATTTTTCCTCTACCTCATTCCAGCTGTTTGCCAAACCTCCCTAAAAACAAACCCTGCGCTGATCCCAAATTTGCCTCCTCCTGGGAAACCCCAGGGTTGGGAATGTTAGTTTGGATTAATCCCTTTAATTGTTGCTTTCGCTGCTGTGTGTTCATCCTGGTTCCTGGAATTCCTTGGATAACGGATCATTTTAATTTGTAGCTTCCTGAGGGTTTGACGAGCTCAGCACTAATTAACATCCCGGATTCCCGGGCCCTGCCTCATGTAGGTATCGCTTCCTTTCTAATTGCTAATTAATCGCTTAATTAATTAACTGCTTAATTAATGACCTGAGTCCATGAGAATATGAGGATAAAGATGGAAGGAGGCGTTTTCCTTCCGGGAATGATCCTGCTTGCTGCTTAGGAAAATGGCAATTCCAGCTGGCTGCCAGTGTCTCCTTGGGTTTTCCATTCATTCCAAAGGGAATGAGGGTGGTTTTGAAGGAATTCCGTCCCCAGCTCTGGGATCCCAGCACAGAAAGGACATGGAATTGTGGGAGTGATCCAGAGGTGGCACCAGAATGATCAGAGGAATGGAGCAGCTCTGCTGAGAGGAAGAGCTGGGAGAGCTGGGAATGTTCCCCTGGAGAAGGGAAAATTCCAGGGAATGCTCAGAGTGCCTGGAGGGGCTCCAGGAGAGCTGGAGAGGGACTGGGGACAAGGGACAGAGGGACAGGAGCCAGGGAATGGCTCCCACTGGGAAAGGGGAGCTTGGGCTGGGATCTTGGCAAGGAATTCCTGGCTGGAATGGAATTCCCAGATTTGCCGTGGCTGGCCCTGGATCCCTGGCAGTGCCCAAGGCCAGGTTGGATCCACCTGGGATAGGGGAGGTGTCCCTGCCTGTGGAAAGGGTGGAATGGGATGAGATTTAAGGATCCCTTCCCTCTTCCTGCTCCCTTTGTGTCTTTTCCATAAGAAAAACAGATATTGGGATTTTCCCGGGTTTTATAGGGAGGGCAGTGAAGCTGCTTCGCCTTCTCAGGGAAAAGCTCCAGAGGAGCAATTCCCTTCATCCCAAATTCACCCTGATCAGATTCCCCATGGAATCATGGATCGGTTTGCATTGGAAGGATCTTAAATCCCATCCCATTCCACAGTTTCCATGGGCAGGGACACCTCCCACTATCCCATGTTGCTCCAAGCCCATTCCAGCCGGGCCTTGGATACTTCCAGTGATCCAAATATTGTCCAGTGAATTGATTTTTCCATCCCAGAGAGGTGGCAGTGCTGGGATCCTGACTTCGGAAGCAAAAATTCCTGAAATAACCCCCCCCATCCAGCTGTCCATCTGTGGTTTTAATTTCCATGGATATGTTTTTGGTTTAGGACAAAAAATCCAGGGGGGAAAAAACAAAGAAGGAAAAGCTGCAGAGCGTTAAAAATCAAATGACAGGAATATTAGGTGGGAATAAACCATCCCATTGTCCAGATTTTTCCAGGATCCTCCAGGAATGGGAGACAATGTGATAAGCCCCAGTTTGCAGAAAAATGGGAATGTTTCATTGGGAAAACCATCCTGGTTTGGAAAACTAAGTTCCCATCTTCCTTCCCAGCTCCTTCTCCTTTATGGCTCAGGAGCTCTGTGCAAAAGGAGGAGCTGGGAATGAGGCCCAGGGGCTGCAGCCGGGGAAATCTTGGAAAAAAGCTTTTTCAGCCAAAAAAATCCAGCTCCGTGAGGAGCGTGTGAGGGAGGTCCCGGATTTCACTGGGATCTGCCTCCGGCTGGAGCGTTAATGATGACAGGGAAGAGTTTAAACTGCCCGAGGGCCAGGACGGGTGGGATTTTGGGATGGAATTCTGCCCTGTGAGGGTGGGGACGGGCTGGGCTGGAATTCCCAGATTTGCTGTGGATGCCCCTGGATCCATGGAAGTGCCCAAGGCCAGGATGGATCCACCTGGGATGGTGGGAGGTGTCCCTGCCCATGGATGGGGTGGGAATGCAATGGGATTTAAAGTCACTTCCAACTCAAACCATTCCATGATTCTGGAGTCCCTCTGCTCTGGAGACAGTCTGGGAGAGCTGGGAATGTTCCCCTGGAGAAGGGAAAATTCCAGGGAATGCTCAGAGTGCCTGGAGGGGCTCCAGGAGAGCTGGAGAGGGACTGGGGACAAGGGACAGAGGGACAGGAGCCAGGGAATGGCTCCCACTGGGAAAGGGGAGCTTGGGCTGGGATCTTGGCAAGGAATTCCTGGCTGGAATGGAATTCCCAGATTTGCTGTGGCTGCCCCTGGATCCCTGGAGTGCTCAAGGCCAGGTTGGACACTGGGCTTGGATCCACCTGGGATAATTGGAGTGTCCCTGGATGGAAGTGGATGATCTTTCTTGTCAATTCCCATTCCATAATTCCATGATTCCTGGGTACATCCCAGAGGAGAGGAGCTCAGGAGGAACTCTCGGACACCTCTGCTCCTGCATTCCCTTCTGAGGAGCCCTACAACGCGGTTACTCCGCCGTTACTCCAGCTCATGCTGCTTTCCAAATCCCCCATCCCGGGACATGTCAACGCAGTCGAGCGGAGCCAATTCCAGCTGATCCATGTCTGTAAACCATTTGGGATAATTGGTTGTTTGCTCTGTTTGCTCCGTCCAAATCCAAGCCGACATTTTACGGCTTCTCCGGTTACTGCTCCTTGGAGGAGCTCTGGGTGTTGGATGATTCCTCCTGGGAATGGTTCCCATCCCAGCACTGCCCCCCCTCCCCAGAATGTTCCTGATGGTTTTGATATTCCCAGTTGGGATCCAGCCAATGGCACTGCCACCAGGGGACGGGGTGGGGGAAGTATTCCCGGAGAAAACTCCAGGATTTCCACAGCTGGGGTTTGGAATGGTTTGGGAGGGAAGGGAATCTGAAAGCTCATCCCGGTTCCATCAGCAGGGACGCCTCCCACTGTCCCAGGTGGATCCGAGTCCATCCCAGCCTGGCCTTGGACATTCCCAGGGATCCAGAGGCAGCCCCAGCAAATCTGGGAATTCCATTCCAGCCAGGAATTCCTTGCCAAGATCCCAGCCCAAGCTCCCCTTTCCCAGTGGGAGCCATTCCCTGGCTCCTGTCCCTCTGTCCCTTGTCCCCAGTCCCTCTCCAGCTCTCCTGGAGCCCCTCCAGGCACTCTGAGCATTCCCTGGAATTTTCCCTTCTCCAGGGGAACATTCCCAGCTCTCCCAGCCTGCTTCCAGAGCAGAGGGGCTCCAGAATCCTGGAATGGTTTGGGTTGGAAAGGACCTCAAATCCCATCCCATTCCCACCCCGTCCATGTTCAGGGACACCTCCCACCATCCCAGGTTGCTCCGAGCGCCAATGTCCAGTCTGGCCTTGGACACTTCCCGGGATCCAGGGGCATCCACAGCAAATCTGGGAATTCCAGGCCAGCCCCTCCCCACCCTCAGACCCAGGAATTTTTTCCATAGAGGAGAAATTCTCCTTCCTCCAGCCATGCTTTGTTGCAGGAACTGCTGCAGCTCCTGGAATGACAGGATTGGGTGAAATGATCCCGTTATTCCCAGCATATCCAAATGATGGGTCCCTCTTGGGAAAAAGGTTGGAATTCTAGGGTGGTGAGAGGGAAGAGGGATGGAACAGAGTTAGGGAGACAGGAAAACTCTGGATAACCATGGCAACAGCTTTCCAGGTGGGAATAAGCTTCTTTTCTGGGAAAAAATCAGGATTTGGTCACTTGAGGTTAAATTTATCCAGAAGGGATTCTCACCCGGGGGATGTGTCCAGTGGGATCCATGAAAAAGCTGGAAAGGGAGCACAGATTCCCAATCTCAGAGATCATCTGGGCCATGGATCAACTCCTAGAGATTGTTTGGGATACCTGGAGGGAATTTTCTCCATCCCCTGGATGAAGGAAATTCCTCAATCCATCCTTCTCCGATGCATTGCTTTCCATGGCTTTCCCATTCCCAAATGGAGTCATATCCAGCACCATTAACATTCCAGCCACTCCCCTCCCCTCCTTTTGATGTTTTCCCTGTTTTTCATTGGAATATTGGTCCAAATCCACGAAAATCTCTAATCCAGCTCTTTCCCTTGGGGCTGCAGAGGAATCTGTGGGTAAGTCCTGGGATGAATCCAAACATTTTCCTTGTATCCCAATACCTGTGGAATGTCACGATGTCTGAATGGAACCATTGAAACAATAAAATGGGAAGTGACAGAAGGAAAATTGGGATTTCCCCCCCATAAAAAAAGGAGGTGGCAGAAGCCTCGGAGTGAATTTCCAGAATATTCCAATTAAAGCCAATATCTGTCCATTAAATCCCGTGCCGTTGGCTTCAAATATAAATCCAATAAAACTCCATTTGGAATCCTCCGTGAGGTCACCGAGCTGGAATTCTGCAGCCTCCTAAAAGGAGACCCCAGGATTTTCCAGGAATTTTTCATGGATTGCCAGCAAAGCGGTCTCAAAAACGCGATTCCTATAAAATCCATGGAATATTGAGCCGGCGTGGTCTGGTTTTCCTCCTGGAACGGTTTACACTGGGAATAAGGAATAATGGGAGTTAGAGCAGAGGTTTTGTGGGATTTTCCCGTTTTTTTTCATCTGAGGCTTGTGTTGTTCCAGAGACCTGAGCACCGTTGGGTTTTAATGGAAAGATGGGAATTGCATGGATTTATTCATTTATCCACAGGTTTTGTTGGGATGGGGAGGTTGGGAGGTGCTGGGATACAACCAGGAAGTCAATCCCTGTCTCCCAAACCCCAGAAATTTCCAGGGAAATTTCTAAAATTGGAGCATTTCAAGCTGTTAACATCAGAGTTTTTGGTTCATTCCCTGCATGGAAATCCAGGAAAATCACCCCCTGAGGCTAAAAAATTCCCTAAAAATGCTCCAAATTCTTGGAATGTTCTTCTTGGAAGGCTTATCTTCCCATGAGGAATAATCCTTTTGGGATTATCCCCAGTGGCTGTAACACCCATATTTGGGCTGGGAGCATCCCAAAAACCCTGGAAATCAGGGATGGGGTTGATGCAGCGTTTGCTTCCCAGATCTGGGAGCTGATGCCGTTTTCCTGGGATTTTTTTTTTGTGGAAAATGAGTAACTTTGGGATCTCTGGCTGCAGGAGGAGGAATTCATCGACTGGTGGAGCAAATTTTACGCTTCCACGGGAGAGAGGGAAAAATGTGGATATTACTTGGAAAAGGGATTTGACACCTTGAAGGTGAGAGACTTCCATCGGGTCTGGATCTTTGCAATTCCACTCTCCATGATTTCTTTGGGATTTTCAGCTTTTTTTTCCATCCGGGTGCAAAAAAAACCAGAACATTTTCCCCAGGTGTGGAAAATTTTGTTTCCCTTGGAAAAACCTTTTGGGAAACTTCTGGAAATTTTCCCTTGGGAAGTGGTGGAGGAGCGGGGAACTGTCATGCTGGGAAGGGTTTGGGAAGGAGGAAAGTCAGGGATTTCTCAGGGAAGAGGGAGATTAAGGCACAAGAAATGCTAAATTGAACACAAACTCCCAAACAGGGAAGATTTTCCTCAGTTTTAAGGAAAATATTCCCAGCTGGAAGATCTCTATCCATGAAAAAACACCAGGAGACTTTGGATTTGTCTGGGTAATTGGGATGGGCTGGAATTTATTGTGGGATTCCCAAATTCTCCTCACCACTCCAGAGGGAAATAAAGGGGAAAATTCCCAGAAATTTCTCTCTGTGGGATGAATTTTCCCAGGATTGAGGAATTTGGTTGGAATTCTTTTCCCCGCTCCGTCTTTTTGTCCTCAGGTCTACGACACGGAGCTGGAAAACATTGAGGAATTTGAGCATCTCTCTGACTTCTGCCACACCTTCAAACTGTTCCGGGGGAGATCCCAGGATTCCAACGATGACCCCTCGGTGGTGGGGGAGTTCAAGGTGGGATGGGCCCTCTCCCCATGGACTGTGTCCGTAGGGGTGGGAATTGTGGGATCTTTAAGTCCTTTCCAGCCCAAGTCGTTCCGTGAGTCCAGGAATTGTGGGAGTTGTGGAATCCTCATCCACGGAAGTGGCCAAGGCTGCTTGGAAGGGGCTTGGCGCAACCTGGGACAGCGGGAGGTGTCCCTGAACATGGATGGGGTGGGAATGGATGGGATTTAAGGTCCTTCCCACCAAAACCATTCCAGGATTCTGGAGCCCCTCTGCTCTGGAGCCAGGCTGGGAGAGCTGGGAATGCTCCCCTGGAGAAGGGAAAATTCCAGGGAATGCTCAGAGTGCCTGGAGGGGCTCCAGGAGAGCTGGAGAGGGACTGGGGACAAGGGACAGAGGGACAGGAGCCAGGGAATGGCTCCCACTGGGAAAGGGGAGCTTGGGCTGGGATCTTGGCAAGGAATTCCTGGCTGGGATGGAATTCCCAGATTTTCTGGGGCTGCCCCTGGATCCCTGGCAGTGCCCAAGGCCAGGTTGGACACTGGGCTTGGATCCACCTGGGATTGGGAAAGGTGTCTCTGCCCATGGAATGGGATGAGCTTTCAGCTCTCTTCCCACCCAAACCATTCCATAATTCCATGATTCATTCCGCTCATTCCAAGCCTGCTCCCGTCTCCACGTGTTCTTCCCTGAATTCCCGTGTCCTTCCCAGGGTTCTTTCAGGATTTACCCCCTTCCCGACGATCCGCGTGTCCCGGTGCCTCCCCGGCAATTCCAGCAGCTCCCGGCCAGGGGACTCCAGGAATGTCTGGTCCGGGTTTACATCATCCGCGCCTTCGACCTCCAGCCCAAGGATTCCAATGGGAAGGTATCCCGCTGGGAAAGCTCCGGGTTGGCTCCTGTGGTGGATTCCTGCAACAGCTCAGCCATTATTGCTCAAAATTGGGTTAAAATTCGGGCAAAATTTGTCAAAATTTACAAATTTGCCCTAAAATGTAGGAATTTGTTCCTGTTTTCTTCCCCCTTGGAATATCTGGGAATTCTGGGAGGAAACTCTTCCTTTGTCCACTGGGATTTTTCCAGATTAGTTCCATGAGTTTTGAGTTTGGCTTTATCTTGGTTTTTTGTTTTTTGTTTTTGGTGGGTTTTTTTTTTTTTTTTTTTTTTTTTTTTTTTTTTTGTTGGTTTTTTTTTTTTTTTTTTTTTTGTTTTTTTAGTGCTGAAGGGCATAAAATCACATTTTTCCCAAAATTCCTTCTTGCAAAGGTTTGCTGGTCTGGAAGGGAAATTTTGGGAAAATGGGAATTGTGTAGGTCCAAAACTCCCCAAAATTCAGGGAAGGGGAAAATCCTTTAAAATTATCTTGGTTCCACTGGAAAAAAAGGGGAAAATTTCAGGAATACTGTGGGAAATACACGAGAAAATATCTAAGAAAGCTAGATGGGAAAATAGTAAATACGCATGGAAAATTTATGGAAAAATAATGAATAGAGATGAAAATGTATGGGAAAACATATGGAAAAAAGTATATGGAATATGGGAAATATATATGGAATATATGGAAAAATAGATGCAGAAATTCCAACAACTTTTGAATTTTCCCCATTTTTTAAAATGGATTTGGAATGGAAATGTTTAATTCCTAAGAAATCCCCCATGAGTAATTCCTGAGGATTAAAAAGAAGGAAAAAAATGTGGGAGTTTTTCCATTTAAAACCCCAAACCTACCAAAACTGATCCCAGATTTCTCCTGGGATGGGAATTTTACGGAGGCTGATCCCAGCCCAAGGAATATCCGGGTGCTCATTCCATTCCCTGAGCGCTGTTTCCCATCCATTCCTTAAAAAACAAATCAGCAGGAAAAGGAAAATCTGGGAGAAGTGATGAGAAAACTTGGCAGGGGCATTTTTTCCAGGGAATTCTTGGATGTGACTGGGATGGTGGATCCCTGTAGATCCAGGTAAAATGTTTTAGGTGGAATTGGATCTTTCCCTTGAATTTTTTCCCTTGTCCTGGCAAAAAACCCAACTTGATTTAAATTCCCCGCTTTTCAAGTTGGGGCCGAATTCCCAGAATAATTTTATCTGGGAGAGGGATGGGATTTGGAACAGCCTACGGAAAAGGGTGGGACTGGAATCCCACGGGATTTTTGTGTTTGTTTCCGTGCCCACCTCCAGTGTGATCCCTACGTGAAGATCTCCGTGGGGAAGAAATCCATAAATGACCAGGAAAATTACCTTCCCTGCACTCTGGAGCCTGTCTTTGGGAAGTAAGTATGGATTCTGTTTGGTATCCATGGAATTTCTTGGATGTCCTAGTGAGGGAATTGTGCTGGGCCAACTGGAATTTCCCATTCCAACAGCCAATTCCAGGTTGGAGCAACCTGGGATAGTGGGAAGCATTCCCTGCCCATGGCAGGGATTGGGAATGGGATGGATTTTAAGGTTTTTCCCATCCCAATCTATTCCATGATTCCCTTGGCTCTTGTTCATCAATCTGTGGGATTTCTGAGGTGTGGATTGGGGAGCTGGAATTCCATAGTGGAGGAATCTGGATCATCCCATTGTTGGGAAAGAGTTTAGGGAACTTCTCCTCATCCAGGACTTTTGATTTAATGTCTGAAGGGAAAACGTGAGGAATGGGAAGGAATGGGACACATCCACATGCTCTGGAATAGGATTATCCATGGATAATTGAGTTGTTTCCCTCAGAAATGGGATAAAATTCCAAGGATAATGGTTTGTTCAGGGAAAAGGTGTTTGGCAAGGCTGGAAAAGGAGCAGGGAAACTGAGGAAAGCTCAATTCCATGGGGTTTTGTTCTCCCAGAAAATCAGAGTCATGGAATAGCGTGGGTTGGACAAGACCTGTAAGGATCATCAATCCGACTCCTTCCCAGGACAATTCCAACGATCCCACCCCGTCCCTGGGAACACTGTCCAAATGCTCCTGGAACTCTGGCGGCCTTGGGAATGTGGCCATTCCCTGGGGAGCTGTTCTGGTGCCTCACCACCCTCTGGATGAGGAATCTTTCCCTGATTTCCAACCTAACTCTCCCTGGAGCAGCTCCAGCCATTCCCTGGGCCCTGTCCCAGAGATCGGAGCTGCCCCTTGGGATGAGCTCCAGGCTGCCAAAATCTGGGACTCGGGGCAAAAACAGGGATGGAATCCTGCTTCCCATAAAATCCATCTGATCTTCCAAGGCTATTCCCACCATTCCACACTACCAATGCCGGGATACCTTCCCAAAAAAGCTAGAGGGAGAGGGAGATGAATTTAAATGGGATCTTGGGAAGGAATTCCTGGCTGGGAGGGTGGGGAGGGGTTGGGTTGGAATTCCCAGATTTGCTGTGGCTGCCCCTGGATCCCTGGAGTGCCCAAGGCCAGGCTGGATCCACCTGGGACAGCGGGAGGTGTCCCTGCCATGGATGGGGAGGAATGGGATGGGATTCAAGGTCACTTCCAACCCAAACCATTCCAGAATTCTGGAGTCAGACTGGGAATGCTCCCCTGGAGAAGGGAAAATTCCAGGGAATGCTCAGAGTGCCTGGAGGGGCTCCAGGAGAGCTGGAGAGGGACTGGGGACAAGGGACAGAGGGACAGGAGCCAGGGAATGGCTCCCACTGGGAAACGGGAGCTTGGGCTGGGATCTTGGCAAGGAATTCCTGGCTGGGTTGGAATTCCCAGATTTGCCGTGGCTGCCTCTGGATCCCTGGCAGTGCCCAAGGCCAGGTTGGACACTGGGCTTGGACCCACGTGGGATCATGGAAAATGTGGGATGAGAAGGTCATTAAGGCGTCTCCTGATCCAAACCATTCCATGATTCCATGATAAGCGAAGCCAGCACAACACCGCTGTGGCCTTGCTGGATCAAGGTGATGCAGCAGCTCTGGAACTCTGATCCATCCCATCCCCATTGGGTTGGGATGGGCTCCATTCCCATGGAATTCCAGCGGCGTGATCCTCTTTTCCCAAGCATTTCCCCATTCCCTTTCCCAGGATGTTTGAGCTGAGCTGCACCCTGCCCCTGGAGAAGGACCTCAAGGTCGCCCTCTACGACTACGACCTCCTGTCCAAGGATGAGAAGATCGGCGAGACCGTCATCGATCTGGAGAATCGCTTCCTGTCCAAATACGGGGCTCGCTGTGGCCTCCCCCAGACCTACTGCGTGTAGGTTCCTCCGTGCGCTTGGAATGTCCGTGAATCCTGGGATTGGGAGGCTGAGGTGGCCATGGGATCACAGCAGGGTTGTCCTGGGGGACTTGGCTGGAGCGGTGCTTCCCAGAGTCCTGGTTTTTATCCAGGGAGGTCCTGGTCCATCCCTGGTGGCTCCTGGTGACCTCGGGCTGAGGACACCCCCACAGATGTGGCTGTCCCATCCCAGGAATGGGAGGTTGGGGTGGGATCTTGGCAAGGAATTCCTGGCTGGGAGGGTGGGGAGGGGCTGGGCTGGAATTCCCAGATTTGCTGGGGCTGCCCCTGGATCCATGGGAATGTCCAAGGCCAGGTTGGACACTGGGCTTGGATCCACCTGGGGTAGTGGGAGGTGTCCCTGCCCACTGCACTGGATGAACTTTAATGTCTGTCCAACCCAACCCATTCCACAATTCCATGATTCCATGATTCTGTTCGGTTTCAGCTCCGGCCCCAACCAGTGGCGAGACCAACTCCGCCCTTCCCAGCTGCTCCACCTCTTCTCCCTGCAGCACAACTACAAAGCTCCCACCTACAAATCCGACCGGATCATCTTCCGGGATCAGGAGTACGTCCTCTCCGAGCTGGGTAAGATGTCAGGGATGCTTTGGGATAGCAGAATTTTCTTGCTCCAGAGAAAGGGATGGAGCTGGATGTCACGGAGACGTCACCAGGATTGAGTGATGGCATTGTCCACGTCCTCCTCCTCTCTGTCCTCTTTGGCTCTGAGCCATTCCCAAACTTGGCCGTGCTCCAAATCCTGGGATCGAGCCCAGACCTTCAATCCAGGAATGTTGACCTTGGGTTTGTGGGAAGCTCCAAACTGATGTTCCGAGTGCATGGAGACATCATGAGGAGCATTATGGAGGCTGGGATTGGGTAGTGGATGTGTCCTCCTCCTCCTCCACACTGGCCGTGTTGGCTCTGGACTATTCCCAATCTTGGCCGTGCCCCAAATCCTGGGATTGAACCCAGACCTTCAATCCAGGGGCATTGTCCTTGAGTTGGACCAAACCCAACATCCCTGGATTGGGAGTGAGAAGCTCCAACCTGATAATCCAAGTGCTGCCCGAGCCAGAAGAGCAACTCTTCCATTGGAATCTCATTTTGGGAATGGTCACTAGAGGGAGACAATATCCCACACACAGACCTGGGAATTCTTTTGGGATTTGGAGCAATCAGGGAACAAAGCCAGCTTCTACAAGGAGGAGAAAAGCTCTGGACTTTTGGGCGGGAGTTTTTTGTGTGCCCATGGCACCTCCCCCTGACCCAACATTCCTGAGGCAGGAGGTTTTTTTTGGGAAAACGCTGCTTTAAGGCACAAAAAGAGTTTTAGTCCCAGGAGGAGGTGAAATCCAACCGGGCCTGGCCCAGGAGCTGCAGTTTGGAATCATGGAATGGTTTAGGTTGGGACCATAAAGATGATCCCATTCCACCCTCTCCATGGGCAGGGACACCTCCCATTATCCCAGGTGGATCCAACCTGGCCTTGGATACTTCCAAGGATCCAGGCGCAGCCACAGCTTCTCTGGGAATTCTCTTCCAAGGCCTCCCCACCCTCAGAGCCAAGAAATACCAATATCCCACCTAAATTTTGGTTGGAATTTTAAAGCCACCATACCTAGGATGTCACCAGAGTCACAGAACAGGGCACAGCCCGGGGCGATCCCTGTCTCGGGAAACAAAGCGCAAATCCCTTCAGGAATTCCAGTTTTCCCCCGGGGCGAAGGGAAGCAAGGAATCCTCCTGGAAAAGTTTTCCTGGGAGAGCTGGGGAGGTGTTAAAATGTGTCCCCGCCGTGGCAGCGCCTGCTGTCACCTTCTGTGGCTTTAACGGCAGCGAGTTCAAAGAGCAGAACAAAGCCCGAGGCTTGACCCAGAGCAGATCTGGGATCCAGCTGGGAGCTCCAGAGCCGGACTGGGAATAAACCGGAGCCGTTAAACACGAGAGCCGGGATTTTACTAGCCCCTCCCCCCGGCCCGTTATTCCATAACTCCCAGATTTTGTTGTTCTCCGAGAGGGGCTCGTTCTTTTCTCGGCACATAAAGCCACACGTGTGTGCATGCGCCGGAATTCCAGGGTTTGGGAAACGGTTGGGAATTAGCCCTGGCGGCTGGAGTTCAGTGTGTCCTTGCCGAGGAAGGAGCTGGGATATCTCACCGGGATTTGGTGGAGTTGGAATGGTATTTATGGAATGATATGTTATGAAATTATATTTATGGAATGATATTTATGGAGCATGTTGTGTTTCAATTGTCCTGGAAGGTGCACGACCAGAGTGGGGTGAAGTCCACCAACCCCAGCCTGGGATTTTGGGATTGTTGGGGTCGGAGTCAGAAAATCAGGGAATCTTTTAGGTTGGAAAAGACCTCGAATGTCCTGGAATCCCAGAATTCAGGTTGGAAAAGACCTCCAAGATCGAATTCAGCCTTGTCCAAATTTCCTGTTCGGTTGTTCTTTGGACACCTCCGGGAGTGGGGACTTCACTGCATCCCTGATATCCAAGGATAGGGAATCATGTCCCATCCCAGGAATGGGATGCGGAGGCAGGAGTTGGACATTGGCTGTAGTGGGATGGATGATGGATGGATGGATGATGGATGGATGGATGGATG